CCGCAGCCAGCCCATCTGCAGTCCTCGCAGGCCCAGTCGCACTTGACCCAGTTGGCGCAATACTATCCAGCCTTCCCCCAGCCCATCGCCTCCCAGTACACGGCCTGCATGCAGCAGCAGCAACAGCAGCAGCAGCAGCAACAACAGCAGCAGCAACAGCAGGCGGCCTATGCGCAGCAGCAACACCAGCAGGCCTACACGCAGCAGCAGCAGCAGCAGGCGCAGCAGCAGCGCCAGGAGAAGAACGAGGCCACCCAGCAGCAGGAGGAGGAGGCGACGGCGGCCGCAGCGGCGGCGGCAGCAGCAGCGGCCAGCAACAAGGTCATCGTGCCGAATATCGAGGAGGAGCTGGACTTTCTGGCCGATGCCACGACGGCACCCAAGCAGGGCTACTCGAACTCGCTGTCCAGCAATGGGAGGGGCACTAACTCCTCCACGAACAACACGAACTTTGGCATTCGTAATCCCAACAAGACTCCGTCGCCGGAGCCACCGAACTGCCCGCCCAATTCGCATGCCGCCAACAATGGGCATGGTCATGGTCATTCGGCCGCAACGCCAGCGACGCCTTCGACCAGCGGCGGCGCCAGTGCAGCCACCACGTACAGTCCGGCTGCTCCCAAGCCGGTGAGCGTGGGCACGCTGATTGGGGAGAAGAAGACTCAGTTCATGGACAGCTATCTGAAGTTTCTGCAGGGCGAGCGGGACGACGATCCGCCGCCGGTGGTGAAGCCATCGCGTAAACTGAATTACCCACGAGCTCCGTATAAAAGGAAAGGCAAAGGTTCCGGGAGCGGTGGCGATGAACCCACCACTTCGCAGGCCACACAATCTACGGGGGATGCCGGCCAGTCGGCGGTCGATGGACTCGCAGGACTCGTGGGCGATGATGGGCATCGCATCAAAATACTCTCGCAGACGCAAATACTCCCCAAGAAGCGTCCGCATGCCCAAATGGTGGCTGCTGCGGCCGCGGCGGAATCGGCACCTTCGTCGTCGGTCATCCAGCAGCCCGGGGATCAAACCTCCTTCCGGCCATACGCCCAGCAGCAGCAACAGCAGCAGGCGCAACAGCAACAGCAGCAGCAATCGATGAGCGGACAGCACTTTGTGCAGCAGCATTGCGCCCAACTGACAACTGCGGGAGCGGGTCAAGGTATGTTACTTGACCAACAGCATAGTACCAATAAGCACTCCACTATCGCTACTTCCACGCCATGCAACAACTACAACAACAACAACAACAATCACCACCACACGCCAGCCAGCGCGAATGCAACAGCGAATTCGAATTCAACAACGCCGACGCCAGCACCAGCGCCGAATCCTCATCACTTTATAAACCTGCTGTGGCCTTGGCAGCACTAGCGGCCGCCATTTACCACCCACCCACGCAGCACCACCACCACCCACACCACACGGACAGACAGCCAGACAGACAGACGACAGACTAGCGACTTGGACGGTGTGTATATGTAAAAAACATAAAAACCCATAATGACATCAAAAAAAAAACAAAAAACAAAAAGGAAAACGCCAACTTTTAAATTGTTAAAAGAGCAAACAAAAAAAAAACAAACAAAAGGAGAATCCCATGAACAAAAGTATGAAGTATTTTTGAGATGAAATCGAGAAGAACAAATATTATTAATTTTCAAAAACCCAAATAAACCGTGTATTTTTATTATTTGTACTTGTAAGACGGAACAGAAGTCCGGTGCCGATTCCGATCGAGGTGCTGGTGCTGGTGTTCCATGGCCGTGGGAAGATGGTGTTGCTGGATTGATTTGTTGTTGATGATGTCGTTGTTGTTGTTGTGGATCCTGTTCGTGTCGCCCCGGGGACTCAGTTGTATGTTGCTAACCCACTTTTGTGCTCTCCACAGACCCCTTGAGTGTGCCGCCGCGTCGGGAGCAATGCTCCCGCAAGGCCAAGCAGAGCAGCATGCACGCCATGCTCATGAACTCCAATGCCGTCGCCGGCGATACTGGAGTCGTCGGCGAGCCGGAGGAGTTCACCGACTCGGATACGGATCCCGTGTGGACTCCGCAGGAGGAAGACGTAAGTGTTGAGCTTCCGTCCACGTAACCACTGTCTTAAAAACACCTCCTCCCCCGCAGAGCGATGACGGCAAGGGCTATGGGAAGCGCAAGTTGGCTCGCCGCTCGAAGGGCACGCCGCGCAAGAATACCTACGACCATTCCTCAAATCTGCAACAACCGCAACAACAACAGCAACAACACCACCAGCAACTGCAGCAGATGCAGGTCAACCAGCAACACCATCAGCAGCAACAGGTGCAACAACTGGCCGGTGGCGGCGAAACTAGCTATAGTTCGCAGCAGAATATGTCTGGAGTGGCGGATGTGGGATATGCCAGTGCCTCATCGGGCACAGCTGCCAACTCGGAGAACTTTAAAGTAGGTTAAAGTGTTGCGTTTTATAATTATCGTGCATTTTTATTTATTAATTTTGATTAAGTTAAATTATCTGTAATGCTAAAAAGTTTAGTAATGTGTACGATTTTTTTTAAAACTATTCTTTTTAATCAGAAAACGTTTATTGATTTAAAAAGTCTTCATAATATGTAAAATCTAAAACAAGAAAACTGTAAATTAAAATTCGGAATTGATTAGGATCTATTATAACTATTATTTATATTTAATGCATTATATTGCTATAATGCTTAAATTATCCGTAATGCTAAAGAGTTTAGCAATGTATACAATTTTTTTAAAACTATTATTTTATTTTATCAGAAAACGTTTATTGATTTAAAAAGTCCTCGTAATATGTAAAAACTAAAACAGGAAAATTGTAAAATAAATTCAGAATGGATTAGGATCTATTATAACTATATTTTATATTTAATGCATTATATTGCTATAATGCCTCAATTATCCGTAATGCTAAAAAGCTTAGCATTGTATACGATTTTTTTAAAACTATTTTATCAGAAAAAGTTTATTTATTTAAAAATTGTGTTTTATAATCGTGATTTTTTATTTATTTCGATTTACTCAATGATTAATAGTTTAGCAATGTATTTGAAATTACTATTTTTTATCAGAAAAAAAATTAAAAAATCCTCAAACTAGAACAGGAAAATATTAAATTTTAATTATAATTATTTTTTATATTTAATGCATTTTATTGCTATAATGTTTAAGAAAAATTTTAAAATTATTTGTTTAACGAACTTTTTAGACGGGCGACTTTATAGTTTTGCGATCGGATCTTGTCAACGACTGGCCCACCATTTGGCAGGTGGACTCAAAGTGCATTTTGCAGAAGTACGAGCCCTTCCGCCAAAACGGAAAAACCTTCTATCGTAACATGTCAAAGGTGCGTTTTTCTGACAATTTAACAATTTTATATATTTAAATTAATTGATCCCGATTTCAGTACGCCTCCTGGAATCTCGAAACGAAGAAACTCTACCTCAAAGCACCGGTGCGCATTCAGCTGCATTCCCACACCGAGACAATTGTCGAGTTCATGCGATCAGAGTTGCTGGCCGATGATACCGAGCAATTTATTGAAAAGATCATGGAGGACTATCTGTCGTATAGGGACAACTTTGAGATCTATATTCAGACCATGATCTCTCAAGCCCTCGATCCAAGCTTCTTTTCGGAAATAACGCGCGAAAAGGGTAAAACGGGATTTTTAACAAAATTATTGTTTAAATTATAAATGTATATTTCTTTTTAGACGACTACTTTTTGGGCAGCGTGCGGGTGGTGGACAACATCATGGAAAACTGCAAGCGCAAGCTGCTGGCCATCACTCCTTGGACGCGGAGCACAATCTCGTCCATTGAGACCTGGCCCAAGTGCCATGTGTTCTCCGAGTGGGAACAAAACAATCTGACCCAGAAGAATTGCGCCGGTTGCCATCAGCCAGGCATCGCTGTGCGTTTCCTACTCTTCGGGGAGCCATATAATCCAAACACCATGCAGACCATGCCCGTGGATCCGCGTATAGTCTACGAAAAGGTAAGTTATATTGATTTTTAAAAGTTAAAATTTTTTTAAAATTATTTTTATAAATTTTATTTTATTATTTATTTGAACTTAATAATTATTTTTTATTTTTTTAGGACATTGTCTTATGCCGCATTTGTGCCGCTCGTGCAGATCTCTTCCACAAGATTGCACACGAAAAGTTCAATCTGTTTATTAACTGCTCGCAACGGGTGACGGAGCAGCAGCAACAGTTCCCTGGCAAGACGTCAACAGAAATTTTGAACGATCTGCTGGCCGAGCACAATTGGATCGATGAGGTAGCATTTACAGCGATATATTTGCTTTTCGGAAATTTTATTATAACTAAATTTCAGCTCTTCCGTAACATGCGCAACTGCTGGGCTGAGGTGGAGAGTCTGGAGCGGCAGAAGCGTTTCCGCGAGGTCATGCAGTAATAGCCATTATCATCGGGAGCCATTGTTAAGGACGACTCCTGACTGCGTATCCAAGTGCTGGACATTAGGACATAACACGCCAAGCCCACGTATTGCTGCAATAAACTCAATGAGTTGTTATTTTATTATATACCAGATGACACGCAAATGCTTAGTTTTAGTGCAAGACACATATTGTACTATGTAGGCCTTAAAATTAAGATAAAGTCTATTCTTGGACTATGCACAGTGCAAGCCATGTAAATAGCTATACAAAATAGCTATAGCCGAGCATTATATCATATATATACATATATATGGAATTTGAAGTACTAAATAGTAGAGTAGTACCACACTCATTAGTTTGAAAAAATAATATTTCTATTGCGTTGAAGTTGCTTAAACATTCTTTTTGCAAAAGTTCAAATTACGATTTATTTGTTAAGATCTTATAGGAGGATCATTCTCCCCAAAATCCCGCAAACAATCAAATTGTGTTTCGCTACCGAATGTGGTCAGGGAACCGTAATCATCACTATACGTAAGGAATGTACATATTTAGTTTTAGCCTTAGTTACACGAATCCAACTGCAGACACTTTAGTTAACATCCCTTGTTTTGCGGACTTTTTATTTAAGTTGTGAATTTTTAGAATCTTAGAGTTCCCTTAATAAATATGAAACAAAATCACATATACTGCCAAAGCTTTAGTTTTGCCTGCTTTAGAATTCCAAATATTTACATCTTCTTAGTTTATAATACTGTAGCACTGGGGTTAGGAGTCCATTTTAAAAAGGGGCTCTGTCATGTCGTATTTGATTAGATCCTTCACAATTCCGATAATTCGGCGCTTGAAAATTGGCAATGTGCGGGCGTTGAGCATATCGTATTCCTCGACCAGCTCCTTATACTTGGGTTCGTCGGAAGATGTTGAAAGTTCCTGGATGGCCTCGGAAACGGTATCGATATCAATTACCTCGCTGGCATTGGAAACGAAAAAGGGTAGGGAAAAAGCACCCATAATTAAGCCGTAAACACCGTATAGCTGCAATTGTCGGTTGAAAACACTGCGTGGATATATCTCCTCCAGACAAAGATCACACGTCGCCAATTTCTGTTCCAGGGTGTCGAAATAGGCATCCATGAAGGTGGAAAAGTGTTCATCCCGCAATTGTTTCTCCGTACAAGCAAAGAGGTAGTGGACTATATCGAGTACAGGTGGGGCATAGCGGGACATCTGGAAGTCGATGAGTTTCGCCTCCACGGCCTGATCACAATTTGGCTGGGGAAAAAAAATATTTTTAAAATTCTGGTATAAATGAAAATTAATCTCATAAGGTATGTATAATAAATGGAATTATCCTTGTGGAAAAAAATAAATATTACAAAAACTTTCAGCAATTTAAGATTATTGTTTTTTAGATGAAGGATATTTTCTAGAAAATATATCCTTTTTAAGGAAAATTTTAGAAAAATAAAAAAAAGTTATTACGAAGTAAAGAGACTTACCTCATGTCTGTAGAGAATATTATTATTCCAAAAATCGCCGTGACAGATAACCGAATAAGGAGCGGGCGATTTCCCATCCACACAGTAAAGGGCCAAGGACTTTAGGTGTTTTTCACAGCGTTCCAGGACCTCCTTAAGGGCAGCCACTTGGTCCCCATCGGACTCGTTCAGGATATTTCTTGCCTTTCTTAGCTGTGCCTTTCCAAACTCAATGGTGACCTCCTCAATGTTGGGAGTGAATAAGTTGTCCTTCTTAACGAAATTAACTAACTCCCTGAACTTTTCAGGATTTTTTTTCTGCAGAATAAATGAACAGGCATGCAGCTCGGCTAAAGCTTTCAGAGAGCAGATTACGATGTCGTAGGTGGGCATAGTACTGCGGGAATTGGGACGGAAACCACTTCCAGCTAGATCCTCGAAGATAAGGAATTCATCGGGAGCCCTGAGACCATTTGCCTGAAGTGCTGGTGCTACGGTGAACATGCTGCGATCTGGCGATAACTTCCGGAAGATGGGGAATACCTCCTGGTACATGAAGACCTCCCGGGCATAGTAGTCCACCACGTGCATGTGGGATCTTCGGGCCACGTTCTTTGGCGCCATTTTGACCACCACGTTTGCGGCTTCCGAAATCGTGGGCCAACTCACTCGAAGGACCTGTCCGTAGGCATTCTCCCCAACTCCCGCCATGGGTTGCGAGACCATGGGTATATTCTCGCGATGGTAGAGCTCCAACAGTGCGCTCGTCACAGCGCTCGAAAGCTCGCTCTCACTCTCGCTCATTTTTTAGACCTGGTTATGACGCTTCGCCAATGAATCTATCTTTCCGACTGAATGAAGCACTGCAGCGGTGTTCCTCTTTTATAGTTCGTCGGCGGAAAAGCTCCTCGTTAGTTGCGCTGCATTGTGGGTGGTGATGATGATAGAGGCCGCGTGTTCTAGTGATAAAGGGGAATCCTTCCTGTTCTTGAACTAATGATCTTGTTGCTTTGTAGGCCAATGATCTTTATATTCTGGCATTTATTATTAAAATAATTGTATTCAATATCAACTTTTTATTTCGTTATTTCGATTTCTCTAATTTAAATCGTGTACTAAATTCTTTCTAAATTGATTCTAATTTTAAATTAATTTAAATGTAATTTTTTAATAATTTAGTTAGTTCTGCCTTTATACCTAGGTAATATACAAACATTACCGACAAATTGCCAAAAAGTGACGTAATTGATAAAGATCATTAAACTTTGGGGGAAATACTTTTTGCTGGTTCTTTCCCAAAGAGTTTAGCCGTTTTTTTCAAATACATAACCAACATATTCTTACATTTTTTTATTATCATCATTAAAATATGTAGAGGGTTATTCTCCTACGCCGCATAAATTACATGTATACTAACGAGTTACAACAAACGTGCTCCAGAAATAGGATTCTTAGTTGCGCAGTATGGAAATATAAATATTTACTTAAAATAGGCCTGGTCATTTATTTGTAAAACCCCAATAATGCCCTCAATCCAGAAGGTTTGCACAAAATAATTAAGTCAATTGTAGTTGCTGGCATTATAAAAATAAATAAATTAAACCTATTTACAGAAGCGATAGTGCACTTCCTATTGTGTTTTATTCTCAGATCCAACGTCAGTCGATTTGAGTAGTTTCGGTCGTTGACCCAACTCAAGGCCACTTCTAATGCAAACATACATTCACGATGGACTTTCTCGTGTGTGCAAGCTAGTGTAGTAGTAGTTAGAAAAGCATGCGATTGGGAAAAAAGGCAATCAACTTTAACTTTTGCCATACCAAACCATACCAATTTCCGAAGCTTTTGGGGTATTACCTGCGATTCTAACTCATCGGCCATTGAACTTGACAAAGGTGGTGTATGCACGGCGCCAAAAAAGCTCGCCAATAGTATAGTACGATCCCCACATCGGATCTAACCCGTTCTAATGATATACCCCTCCGACCAACGATCGGCTGTAGTGCACTTCTAAACGTGCTTTTCCAATCTTTGGAAGATAGGAGGCCGGAGCTTTCGACGGTTAAGGTTTAGCTTTCATTGGCATTGAAAGCGAACGAACTGCGGAGAGGAGGTCGTTGAACCGACACAATTTCGAAAGAAACGTTGCCCAACTGCCCGAGAGACCCAAAACATTGTAGTTTTCGCTTTCTGCTACCCACTAATCAAGAGGAATGATAGTTTTTGGAACAACTTCCGCTCTTCACAATATACTTTAATTGTAAACACAATATTTGATACTTTAGACTGCCCTCTACAGAACTGAAACACATTAAAGTTGTTATATTTTTAGTTCATATTTCTCTTTTTATATTTTCCTTTGATAACAATAAAATAGTTGCTTGTGTCATCTTCTATTTTCTCCTTGGGAGGATCAAGTTAAAAAGTTTTTGAAAAAGTTTAAAAGTTTAATTAAATGCATTTCCTTAAATCTAGCAGTTGCTAATAAGACCAATTACTACACGTAAGTTTATAAGCAGGGACCAAACATATGAGCATATTTTTTTTTTGGGTATTAATAAAGGAATAAAGAATTGTACCTATTTTTTAAAACTTTTAAATAAAATAAAAGAAGAGTTTCCAGATTTTTAATATTTTAGTTTTTGCTTTTGAAGTTAGAAAATAGTTACGTTAAAAAAAATGTTTTTTGTTTGTCCCTTAAAGTTAAAAAGTTCCCTAGACAGATTAGTTAAGGTAATTTAGTATTTATATAACTATTAATAATACGCTTGCCAATTACAATTAAATAAAGACGACGCCAATAGATAAATAAGTACTCTATAGTTTAAATTACGAAAAATAGATTTAATACGTATTAACTGGTTTTTCAATTATTAAAAATTAGACGAGTAAAAGACTCATTTATCAAAACAGGTTTATGATAGATGTTTGCATTCGTTGCTCAATTAGAGACGCCCAAAGGGAGCTTGGAACTGAAGGAAACACTGAAAGGGTTTTGCTATGTTCGGTGTTATTGCTTCTTTTTCTCTTAACACGTAGTTTAAAGGTATAAAATAATTGGTTGAATGGTAACTAAAGAAGTCCATGTTTAGTGGAATAGTCTTAGGTATTTACATAGGTCTAGCTTAGTTTCTAAACAGTGAGCCCCCGTTGTATGGTACAAAAACTAAACGCTTTGGGGGTAAATGGCGGGGCCCAAGTCCTTTAAGCTAAATACACATGCTTACTGTAGCTCCGCGGAGTCGGCAGTGTTTGAATTTGAGTTCTCCTCGGACTTCTTCGACGACGGGGAGTCGGATAGATTGGGCGACAGGTCGCGCAGCTTCACAACGTTTCCCACGGACACCAGATTGGCCGCCTCGGCCACCGAGTATCCGATGTCCGGCGGCGTGCCCTCCGGATAGCCCAGATAGTAGTCCGCTATGCGTCCCGCCTCGCGCAATCCACTCAAGTAGGCGCCATGCACGGTGGCCGGATAGTTCCGTATCGTATGCTCGCCGGCGAAAAAGAGGCGCGGCAATCCCTCCGCCTCCTTACTGGACGGCGGAATAACCGGCGCCGCCAGCAGATCGTAGTCACTGCCCGAGGAGCCCACGGAGACGTAGCTGTAGGAACCGCGGGCCCAGGGATCGCTGCGCCAGCGCGTGACCACCGTCTCCTTGGGCTGCGGAACGGAGGTGTTCCCGAAAATGTTCTTGAGCACGGACATACAGCGCCCGATTATGATGTCGTCCGTAACGCTCTCCACAATATTGGCCGCCATTCCGGCGACCAAAGCAAGCAGCACCGGAGATGAGCTAATGCTCCAAAACAGAAACATTTCGCCTGCAAGTAGATAAATTAATTTTTTTTTTTTAATATTTCCAATTATAGCCCTGCGTGAATCATTTAATTTTTATTTTATCATAGTATGCCTTGAAATTTCGGATTTGTTTAATTCAATTGTAAAATAAATTGAATGTTTTTCTAATTCATTTCGAATTGAATGAATGAATGAATAGTTTTTATGATTTTTTTTCAATTTGGCAGTTTTTTTGTTGTGCTTTCTTTTGAGAACAAAAAGTGGAAACTTTTTAAAAAGTCAATGTTAGCTGCTTAGTAAATTAAATTCAGGCAGATTTAATCACAAAATTATGGCACTTTCTTCTTCAAAAGAAATTGTCGTTTGAATTATTTCGGAATTCATGCCATTCATTCATTAAATTCTATTAAACTCAAAATTCTAATTAATTTATTCATATAAAACAAAAAATTCAAAATAATTCATTGAATCCATACATGCAGGCCTCTATTTAAGACTACAACAACTTACCCCTACTGGAAGTTGTGCTGCCCACGTGACCGAAGAGATTCGCGTTGGGATCCCAGAAAATGCGGTCGAAGCAGAGCACCACCTTATTGAGATTCCCGAAGCCTAACCTCCGGATGGCCTGCTGCTTCCAGTCCGGCAACGGCGGATCGAACTTGACCGTGTTGCTCTGCTGCGACTCCTCGTGGGCCACCGCCACTTTCAGGACGCCCAGGGTGAGCGTGCAGACGGCCAGGTCCGCTTTGTAGGTCATCTGCGAGTTGGAGGTCTTCAGGTTTTCGGCCACCACCTCCACGCCATTGGTGCCGTACTTAATCTCCTTGACGGCGCTGTTGACGCGAATGTCCAGGTTTTCAGTGAGCGCAACCGGCACACAGGAATAACCATTGCGCACGGTGGTGTGGTGGCCAATGAACTCGAAGTCGTCGTCCTGGTCCCAGTGCTTCAGCGACAGGTTGTTTAGTCGGGTGGCGTTGGCGAACTCCAGATTGGCAAAGTGCCAGTCCAGGATGAGGCGGTCGCGGGAAGAGAGGTACACGTCGCTGTAGATAAAGAGGAGATGGGGATTTAATTAATATATTATAATATATTTATCTTGGAAATGATGAAAAAGAACAAAAATATTTCTTTGGGTAAATTATGTTGGCTATGAAATGGACCATCTTGGATACTTGAGTTTATTTTATAGGATAAAGAAGACTTTCAAAACCGCGATAAAAATTTTAAATAATTAAAATTTATACTTTTTGGCCTAATTCCCCTAGTACACATTTAAAAACGTGTAAAGTTGCACGTTGTTCCTCTAAGCCGTTCCCGAGATATACTAATTTAAAGTTTGAGAACATTTTTATACCCTTGCAGAGGGTATTATGATTTCAGTCAGAAGTTTGCAACGCAGTGATGGAGACGTTTCCGACCCCATAAAGTATATATATTCTTGATCAGCATCACTAGACGAGTCGATCTAGCTATGTCCGTCTGTCCGTCTGTCCGTCCGTTTCTACGCAAACTAGTCTCTCAGTTTTTGAGCTATCGGGATGAAACTTTCCCAAAAGTCTTCTTTCTATTGCAGGTAGTATATATGTCGGAACCGACCGGATCGGACAACTATATCTTATAGCTCCCATAGGAAGGATCGGAAAAGAAAACGTTAAAAAAATTCTAGCTTCGGTGTTTTTTGAAATATTACCTTCTACTTTTGGGGATGTTATTTTTTAAATATTTCTGAATTTCGAATTAAATATTTAACAAATCGGACTACTATATCATATAGCTGCCATAGGAACGATCGGAAAATTAATGAAAAATATTAGAAAATTGAACATTTTTGCGATTTGTTAATTAATAGGAATGATCTGCAAGGGTATATAAGCTTCGGCTGGCCGAAGCTAGCTTCCTTTCTTGTTTAAGTTCTTAACTTCAAAAATTCATAGCGCCCTTAAAAGGACACCAAAAAAATTCAAAAAAATCTGAGATGGTAACCAAGACAAACTCTACGAGGTAGCCGAATTTAACTGCCCACCTTGGTCGGTTCTGCTCTAGTTCGTGAAGCTTGGCTTCCATCTGCTTATCCTCGGCATGGAGCTCGTTGAAAACCCTGAGCTCCTCCTCCACCTTGATCTGCGTGTTCCGAATGCTAAACTCCTGCCGTCCGTAATCCGCATCGCTCTCCACGCCCCTCGGTTTTCGCTGCTTGACCATCGCCAGGTGCTCGCTTCTCAGCGTGGCGATGCTCTGTTTGATGGTCTTCATGCGGCGCCGATGCTCGATGATCTTCGTCTGGGCCGCAATGATCTCCTGCATGTGCTGGGCTCGCTTGTGCTTGACCTGCATCTCCTGCATGCTGATAATCCACTCGAGGGCATCGCCCAGCGAAACCGGACAATTGCCGGCGTAGTTGAAGTCAAGGCGGTGGGACAGGTAGCTCGCAGACTCGAGTAGTCGATTGAATTCTCTCTCGATGACATCGTCCTTCTCCTTGGGCACCGGTTTGCCATCGGGGCCGTAGAGCGGACATGTCTGCTGGATGGGCACCAGGTCCATGCCGATCTGTTTGCTCAAAATGGTCATTGGATTGCCATACACGCCGGTCACCACCATGGCACCCAGATCGGCGATATAGCTGTTCTTGCGGAATGTCGCTATGCGTCCACCGACGCGATCTCTCGCCTCCAGGACGATCACATCCATGCCGAACTGCTGCAGCTGGTGGGCCACAGCCAAGCCGGAGATTCCTGCCCCGATCACAATGACTTTGCCGAGCTTTTTCGTGGGTATGGGTCGCAGCCGCTTGAAGATGCCAAAGTTGATGAAGCCATGACGCTCCAGGAACGAGTGCACCCGCCTCACCAGACTGGGTTCGCTGTCAAATGGCGGTGGGAGGTTCTTGAGGGCATTCTCAAAGCTCAACTGGAGCTTGGGATTATCCACCCACATGTGGAGCAGGCTGTTGCGGATATTGAGGAACACCCGATGGCCCAGAATGCCCGAACGACTGATGTCCGGGAAGCAGGCCTCCTCGTTCGGTGTCATCTTGTTGAAGGGCAGGCGGGACTGGAAGACGGCGCCCTCTTGGCCGGACAAAACGGTGGGTGTGCCCGCATCCCGCTCTTTCGAATCTCCATTCTGCGAGGGCCGCGGATTTCCGGCATTCGGACCGGAAACGGAAGTGGCATTCGCCTCCGATTTGCGGGCTTGACTTTGACTACGTCGCTCCGTCGGCTGGCTGTTCGATCCCAGGGATCCCGAACCCGATCCTGACTTTTCATTGGAGGCGGTGGCTTCTCCACTGCCACTCGGCCGGTTGCTGTAATCCACTTTGGGTCGATTGCGCCGACTGGTGCGCCGTTCGTCGCTGGTGGCGGGTGCATCATTGGAGTCCTCGTCCGGCTGCTTCTGTTTCTGGCCAGGATTGGGATTCGGATTGGGATTAGGAGGAGGAGCATTCCTTTTCGGCGACGGCTCGCCATCGGAATCGTCGCTAATCAGGGTCACATACTCGATGGGCTCGGTCATCTTGGAGCCACTGCCTCCGCTTTGCGTGGGCTTCATCACCGGAAAACAGTAATCCCTTTAAAATAAAAAAACCATCTGAAGTTTATTCGAAAATCGTTTCTCTGCGCGCAAAACTTACGCTTGAAAATCACGGTTTATTCAGCGCATAAAACCGGAATACTGTTGCATTCTTCTTTTTTTGCAATATTTTTTTAGTGGTTTTATTATCACACGTTTTGCCGATCGGACTGCGGATATCCCTTTTTTTTTGGTCACAACTCCCTGCTGGCCCGATTTCAGTGAAGTTAACTAAACTCGGTTGCTGTTTCAGCCGCTCGAAGCATTGCTTTTCATTTTACGTTAGCTCTCAGATCGATTTTTCGGCTTTCAAAAGTGCAAATTGAAATGTAAAAAATTGTTTATATGGTTTTGGCGGTGTGGCAGCCGCGCAATGCCGCCAACATACCCCTACCGGTGTGCCGAATTCAAACGGCGCCATCTGGTCACACTGCGCCGATGCCCGCGCTTAAGCTTCAAACGCTTATTAAATTTCATTGCGCACTTTACCGGCTTTTTTACAGGTAGAAATTAACTGAGTCACTTTTTAAAAAGAGTTATCTTTAATGAAGCAGCAGCATTTCCTTGAAAAACCCAGAACAGCGGCCGTAACCCACCGTGCGGTCATACTAATTTATAGCCGCTACTTTCCCCTTGAACCGGTTCATTCACTGAATCGGTATACTTTCGTTTTGAATGTAACCGTTTTTTAAAAAATATATTCCTTTGACTTTTAAATAAATAAACTAAAATATATATAAGGAGTATATAAAAAGGAATCGTGAACTCAAAACCTGACTTGCCTAGTAGAAGTAACTTAATTTAAAAGGAAAGTTAAAGATAACAAAAATTGACCTTTGAATCTACTAAGATAAAAAGTGGTTGGTATTCCCCAAAATCATTACCACCTTAATGGAAGTTGCTCGACATCCTCGTAGCTGCTCAACAGAAAGATATGATTTAATTGGATAGTTTCTAAATTTAGAAAGAACTTCATTATTGGTACATCGTTTGTTAGCTGCACGCCTAGATTAAAAAGTTTATTTATAAAGTTTAGTAAGAAGATAGGAACGGACTAGGTGATTCAAGTCGCCCAATTAAGGCAATCAGTTGCGGAGGGAGGATGTGGTTGAATAGTGTTTTTAAACCAATTTTGAAACACAATGAGCTGCTCAAAATTTTACCTGTAAGGAAGGGTCCTAAGAATCTGTTGATTTTTTTTTTTTTAAGAAAATATCTTTTTAAATGTTGCATTATGCTGTATTTTTGTTATTACCCTTTTTTAAATATTTTTTAATATTTTGCCCTCTTTAAATTAAACCCCATCTAATCCTGAACATAAAAACATAAATAATGCTTTGGTTTTTGCAATTTATATTTATGGATAAACCACTAAAAATGAATAATCTCAGTCGCGGTCATCGCAGCACTTGTCGTAGATGATGGTGCTCGTGCAGGCCTCGAGTCGCTCGTCGAAGAAGTGATCGAAGTGGCAGGTCTCCTCCTCGACCTCCTTGCTGTCCACGCAGCGGATGAAGTTGTGGCAGTTGTTGCTGCTGCTGGTGACCAGCATGGTGCCGCGACCCTCGCACCTGTTGTGGGTGCAGACCACCGAGGTGGCCTTGCCGCAGACCTGCAGATCGGCGTCGAAGAAATAGCCCTCGGGGCACTGCAGCCACAGGGGATCCAGATCGACGACAGTTTCGAGGGCCCGGCACACGAAGTAGCCGCGGCAGGTGGCACCATCCGACTTGAATTGGATCGTCTTGGAGACGGAGCACACACCGTCCTTGGGATGGGCGGTGCACTCCACCTTGTTGGGCTCCACACAGCTGCCGCTCTCCACATCGAAGTACAGGGTCTTCTTGGAGGTGGAGCACTTCTGGGCGCTGTGGTTTCCGGTCTTATCGCACTCGTAGTAGTAGCTGCAGTCGTCCTCCTTGCGGAACTTTGTCTTCTCCGCCACCAGTTCGCAAATGTTGTTCACATCCACGCAATGGGAGTCCGAGCCGTGCAAACAGGACTGAGAGCTCTCCGCGAAGTGCTGACCCACAGGGCACATCCCCTCCAGCGGCACTCCGTTCGCACAGTAGAAGTACTTGTGGCACTCGGTCGGATCCGAGACCCACTGACCATCCAATCCTTCACAGCGATTGCCGCAGTACTTGTGGCTACTGTCCAGCGTGTCCACACAACTGTTCTTGTTGGGATCGAAGGACTTGCCGGAGGGACAGGTGAGGAGGGTGCCCTCGCCATCGAAGCACTGGATGTACTGGTCACAGGTGCCGGGCTTGCGGATTTGGGTGCCGTTCTTGAACAGCCGGCACAGCTCCTCGTAGTCACCGAGACTGGCTGAGAAAGCCGAAGAAGTCATCAGAAAAAGGCAGCCAAATAGCACTCCAAAAAGCCTAGGGTCTGAAAAAAATATAAAATATTTATTATTCTATTCAGTTTTTATTCGCAGATCCCAAAAAAATTTAAATCCCTTAAATCAATAAATTTTAATGATATTTGTCTTTATATAAAAAAATCCTTCTTGTCTTTATTTATTTTAATTCCAATAATAATAATACAAATATTTTTTATTAAACAGTTAACACATAAATTAAAGTGATCTTTCTGTCGTTATTGTTTTACAACTTTTAGCGAAGACTTTCAACTTTTTTCTTTAAATCTTATTTTAAAACACCTTACAGAAGTCTATATTTATTAAAATTCCATTGAATATTGTGAATATTTTTAGCAGTTCTTTGGTTTGGCTGATAAAACTTACTCGGCATGGCTGATTGTTGGGGAATTTGGTTTAATTTGCAGAGTGGCTTGATGTGGCCTCGGGAACTAATTGCTCCCGACTAAATGGAGTTTCGTGAATGGAAAAAGTTTATATTAACTAGCAAACATCATCGCTGCCACTGCTTTTCGCTGATACCGCCTTTTATTGCCCCTATTATAAGCAAATCTTATCGATGTTTTGCGAAAGTACGTAAGCCCCTTCAAGTACTTCGTAATTCGTGATTGAAATCAGGACATCTGTCTGAATATTGCTTAAAAACTCATCCAGCTAATGAATTTTGGCCAAAACGCAGACTTATTAAAGCGAAAAATAAAAGTATGACTAGTTAATAAGGTCCTCAAGATATCGTAAATCGCAAATAGCCAATTTATTGGCTGTTAATTAATTGAACTATAAATAAATTAATCGTATCAGCAGTCACAAGTTATTGTTTGCATTGCCACCGTAAATGTGACAAAATGATAATGCCAGTGCTTTGCTATTTTGCTGTCGCTTTCAATTGTTTTTGGGAAAATCAGAACCTTTCAAAACATTGATTATGACTTACGACGAACAAGACACCGATTATCATTTATGGTTTCGTCAATGAGACTGAGGTATTCCACTCATACCACCTGCTCCTAAAGTTTCCATGATGATGTGATTTCTTAAAAAGCAATTTTGTGAAGGCAGTATAATTTTTATGGTTAATCAAACAGCTGGTGTTTTTTTTAAAAACAAATAATTCTGGAAAGAGAAAGCTCTCGTTGCATTTTAAAGGTGCACTAAAATTTTAAGGCCTAAATCTAATAACTGTACATATTATTGACATTATTAAGTTTTATAAGAATAAGATTTTATAATTTTCCTTTTGAAATTGGATACGTTTTAAAGTTTTTTATTTTTGGTAGGCTTTACGAATAAATTGTGGAGCTATATACTTAACATGCTTTTAAAGTCATAATGCTTCTTAATATTTTAAATACATTTTATTTAATTTATTATTTTATAATAAAAAAGTAAGATACGTTTTAAAGTTTATCATTTTTGTTAGGCTTTACGAATAAATTGTGGACCTATACACTAAACATGGTTTTAGAGTCATAACCCAAAAAGAAAAAAAATGCTTCTTAATATTTTAAATAGGTTTTATTTAATTTATTATTTTATAATAAGAAGCCCATCTTTGGCCCATCACCGCTACATCATTAAACATAAATTGCTAAGACTTCATTTTTTATAGCCCCCAAAAGGTCGAAGTGGCTTTTCTCTCATGTTATAAAGTTCAGAAAAAAAGTCTCTACAAAAAAAGAAAATATAGTTTGCTTAAATATATAAACATGTTTTAATATTCCCCGAACAATCCTAAAAATACTCCCATCCTTTACCATATCACTTCGATGGTTGAGCTTTATTAAGGGTATTTACTTCGTACACGCAGTGTAGGTCTTGATACTCTGGACGCAACTGCCCAGCTGCTCGTCGAAGAAGTAGTTGCCGCAGGACTTCTCCTCGCTGGCGACTCCGCCGGAGCAGTGGTAATAGTTCCGGCAGCCGGTGGTGGCGCTAACCACAAATTCGGCGGTGCGGCCATCGCAACGATCGTTGGTGCACTTGACCAGGGTGGGATCGATGCACATCTGGCTGCTGGCATCGAAGAACTTGTCCTGGGGACACTGGTTCCACAGGGGATTCGGATCGGGAGAGCCATCGGCCTGCTTGGCGCAGTAGAAGTACCCGCGACAGGTGGCATCATCCGCAACGAACTTGTCCACCGTCGGCTTGCTGGCCTTGCCGCACTTGTCCGCATTGGGATGGGCATCGCAATCCACGAGAGCCTTGGCCACACACGTTCCCGTGCTGGCCTGGTAGTACTGATTCGTGCAGGTCTTGTCCTTCAGCACTCCCTTTTCGCACACATGGTACTGGTTGCAGCCCTGCAGATTGTCGAAGTTCACGTTGTTCTTCACAATGTTGCAGTACTCAAAGGAGCTGGTCGTGCAGGCCGATTCGTATTGGTGGGTGCACATCTCGGTGGTGGCATTGAAGTGCGTGTCCTGCGGACACTTGCCATACATGGCCGTCTCCTGTTCGGAGCAGTAGTAGTAGCCGTAGCAGGACTTCGGATCGGCCAGGAAGTGGGTGGCCACGCCCTCGCAGGAAATCGAGCAGCTGGACGTGGAGGTGAGGGTCTTCACACACTTGCCCTGATCCTTGTCGAAGAAGGGAGTGGATCCCGAGCAGGTGCTGTAGTGGCTCACGGAATCGATGCACGTAATCGATTGGCTGCACGAATCGGGATCACGGATCACTGTGTTGTTCGAGAACAAGCGGCAGATGTCCTCGTCGCGGGCATTCACCAAGGGCAGCACCAGCAACAGTGCCACGCCCACGAAAACTACCGGTTCTGTAATCGAAACAAAGTTAGTTTGAAATTCAGAAAGGGGGTAACCACCAAAATCCACCCACTTTCCATCGTAGCTCAACTTTCGACGAACTAATAACTCTTACTGAAGTCGCCCCGCGACGGACGATTTCTTTTATGGTCGCCTATATCAGAGGATCAGTAGCTATCCGCATTTATTTTTGTTAGCGAGATAAGGGGATTGGTTTTTACTAAGGGGTACTGAAAAGGGGTATAATAAACTATCCCAAGTATATCTAACTATATAGGGAGTATTTGGTTTTACAAATTAAAATCAAGCCCAGACATTTCCTATTATATTTTGTATTCAAATTATTTTTCAAGTGGCTTTATAAATCTTTCATTGATCGATTGTACTTGTAAATTTTAAAATGTCCAGGAACCACTTATAAAATATTCTTCTATGGGGCCCAATAATATTTATTTTCTTTTTTATGACTTAATTATTAGGTGAATTGCAGTCGGTAATAATGCCTATGGTCAAAACAATTTGCAGATTGGCAATTGTCTAACGATAAATCATATAGGAAGCAGATTAGATTAGTTATAGCCAAGAAATATAACAAATAAATTGAGGAGCCTGATCAGCTGGGCTAATTCATAAATTTATAAGGAGCTTGTAAAGATTTGTAGTGACCCACCATCTTTGATTTAATTAAATACGAATCTTAAGTAGTCGCTCAATGTTAATTTACATCCAATTAGGTAAGTTAATATATAATGCTATTAATAGGTAGCCTTTTCTAATAATTTGTTGTAAGTGTAAAATATTTAAAAAATTGTTTTTAAGTAAACTATGATTAGGTAAGTTAATATTAGAATGCTACTAATAGGAAGGCGTTTCTAATAATTTATTGTAAATGTAAAATATTTAAAAAATTGTTTATAAGTAAACAATTAAAACAAAATTGGTTATTTCAGCTGGGGCTTCTACTTATTTCTTAAAAATTGTTATCAAATCGGATGGCAAAAAATCGCTTCAATCGCATACTTGTGGGCGTATTTTGATGGTGGTTAAAGTTTACTTTTAGGGGAAAATTAAAATTAAAAATTAAATTTTAGTGATAAAATTATTAACACAGGCAATGTTTATAAGACAATATTTGACGTGAAGACCTCTTTAATACATTTAAATTTTTAATTAAAAAAAACCATCTTGTGTCTTAAGAAAATGAAAATTTCCATATATTCATAAAAATTTAAAGAGGCGTTTAGCTATATTTTAGTTAGCAAAGTTATTTATAACAAATGATTAAATTAAAAATGTGTAAGCTGCTTACTTTTCCCCAGAAACTGATTACTTCAAGTGGAGACGTCAAGGATCGCAGTAAGATTCAAATTGAGATATCTAGCTAATGTCGTGTTGCCGAAATGAATACCGAGATACCAGGGAAACACCACTGAGTGATCAATAAGAGCCGTGACATTCTCCGCCTCCTCGCCGTACTTGGAAATTAAAAAACAATTATAGACAAAGAAGGTTCACAATCAGCAGCTGATAATCCGAATACCGCCAGAGCTGTCATGTCAAATAAAAAAAATATAGAAAATATCTCAAGTTATACATAGACCAGTCCGCTGACCAGGTTTCGATTAGTGCTTATAAGTCAGTCCATTTCGGCCCCGTCCGCTAGTTTCACTTTCGACGTCCAACGCTGTCGAGCCGGGAGCTAAACCAAAAATTAAGGATGAAAGGTGCGTGGTTTACCCCAGACCTTAGAATTTTATCTAGTTTTAATTTCGATACGGGCTTATCGGGCTGACAATTTTTTAATTACCCGCTCTGTCGTGCCGCGAGTGGGCCAACTATAAAAACGCAGAGGCCTCCATTGATTGGGTTAGTAACGAAATCGGAACGTTCGCTTCAGTCGTCTACCAAGCGAATTAGTCCAGAATATATTACCATACCAAAATGGGAGGTACGTTGTCTCTAAAAGCGGATATTTCACTCTCAGTGTTTTCGGTGCAAATAATTCAAAACCTAGTTGAATATTCACTGCGCATCCTTTTTATTTAATTATAATTACATTAAACTGATATTTTTAATATTCATAAATTAAAATATTTAAATTTTGTCATCGACTTGGAGATAAAAGTGAATTTTTTTAATTTAAATATCTGTTTCTACTTATATCAACAACACATTTTAATTACCGAGTGCTAACATTTTTTGGTCCTATTTAATTTAATGTTTTTATTTTTAAACTTCTCCAAAAATGTATCCATATTTCAAATTATTTAAATCAATTAAATTGAAATTTTTCTTCATTTGTTTACTTTTGAAAAAAAAAGACATTTCTGTCTACAAAAATAAAGCCGTTTAAATACAACAATTCCCAGTATTTTAAGTTTAATTTTTCTATTTCAACAGTTGATAAAAATATTAATTAAAAATAGACAAACAAAAAAATTGTTAAATACTATTCATAAAATCCAAATTAAATCCACTCCTCACAGCTTTCAATGCAAGGATCGGTGTCCTGGCGGCCTGTCTTCTGATGGCGGCCCAGGCCAGCGGCTACACGATGGAGCAGATGTGCGCCCAGTGGTCGGGCGAGGGCTATGTGGGCAATCCGAGCAACTGCCGTGCCTGGGGCTACTGCAAGGGCCAGATGCTGGTTAGCTGGGGAACGTGTCCGGATGACTATATTTACAACTCGCAGACAGGCATATGTGCCGATGCCTCGACGACGATTTGCTCGACAAGTGCGACGAAGACCTGCGAATCGGCCGCCTCGCCCATGTACGTGGCCAATCCGATGAACTGCACCGAGTACTGCTACTGCGATGGCAAGGGAGGCTTGGAGTACGGCGCCTGCCAGGAGGGCCTCTACAGTGCCAGCAGCATAAGCTGCATCTATGCCAACAGCTGTCCGCAGGACACCATCTGCCGGTTCATGCAGTCGAACATCTATGTCGGCGATCCGGACAACTGCGGCAGCTACATCGCCTGCCTCAATGGCTATGGAACCTCCGCCAAGTGTGCCGATAACCTGTTCTACAACGCGGCCACCGGTATGTGCCAGAAGGCCAGTGTAACCTGTAACGGCGACGATAGCAACAGTGGAAATGCCGGGCAGTTTACAGTTGGCTACACAAATTCATCTGGATGCCCTGCTGATTACTTCAAAGCCTCAGAGGAGATCACTGTGGACGGAGAAGTTCAGGACTATAAATACGTTTCTGATTGGACCACCTGCTATGGCTTCTACTACTGTGCAAATGCAGGAGCCACTGGTGTTTGGAACCAATGCCCCACTGGTACTCATTTTGACCCCACTAAGGGCGAGTGCGTTTCCCCGGCCGCCTATGCCTGTCCCCATAACCGATGTGGCAACATAAACAATCCATTCATGGCCGTGTCGGATACCACCTGCAACACCTACACGGTCTGCTCCACCGGAGCGACCGGAAATTGCCCCACCACCGCGCAGTTCTACGACGAGATTCACAATATCTGCACCACAAAAAATCCCGGTTACGCCGTTTGCGAAGCAGCTGCCTAAGATCCCCTTTAGCCACCTATATTTTCCGAATTACCTTGCAACAAGCATATGATGTAACATGAGCCCTATCCCTGTTTTTAACCCTACTCCTGCAAGGACTGCGGGACAAGCAATCAAAAGAAATTAATAAAAAAAAACGTCGACTTTGACCAATCGAAATTTGTTTAAAATAAATTTACTGATAAAGGGTTTATAAAACTAATATTTTTCTTAACGGGAATACTTATGACGAAATCTTAAGATTTTATTGCAAATCTTATAAGAGACTTTTTCATAGGAGTCTATAATAGTTGGACAATAGTTGTTAGAAACTAAAATGTTTTTTGCTTGACTATTTTTTAAGGTTTCCTTTATTATAAATAATTTTGCTCATAAGAATACCTAGAATCTGCATAATTAATCCCTAGCTATTCTTTTAGCTTTTGCAGATTCCGAGACTTCGGGACGAGACGGGAATTCAGAGTTCACTGATGCGAAAATCCGCCTAAATTGATCATTTATAATCAAATGCAGACAAGAATAAAACAAGAATTTCAAGATGTACATTTTTGTGATTTTTTTGCTAAATAAGTGCTATGACTAAATGATATCTATATAGTTTAGTTTATTAATTCCAAACAAAATACCCCATGTACTTTTTTAAGATAAAGGCTAATGCTTCAATGGCTGATACATATGTATATCAACAAAAGATTGTAATCATTTTTCCTTGGAAGTTTCTAGAAAAGTAAACTTAATTGACGTCGGCATTTAGATATAATTTTAATTTTAGTACTTGAGCGATCAGATAATTTTGAGGGCCTTAGGATTTCTTGGTAAATTTGAGTGACGTCAACCTATTGTTATTTGTTTGTCTAATAGAATAAAACAATAAAACAGACCTTCAGTCCTAGAGATAAACATTGGCTAAACGTAAGGCAGATAAATTCTAACATGTATTCGATCATGGAAAAGGTAGTAAAATTTAATAATTGTGAAGGAAGTTGGGAAAAATGTTTAGAGAAACGATAAATGTTAATAAATTAGGGAGTTTAATCACAACTCTTTTCAGTGGTTCTCCGATGTTCGAGAACTGTCAATGGCATTGATGGGGATCTCACAGTGAGACATGCAATTTCCCTATCAATGGGGGGCCGTTGATCGGAGTGATATTGACGCCGAGATACCACCAGGAGTCTACACTTCTGCGAACGAGACAATTCCGATGTTATTGCCGTGTAATTTACATGCTCCCCCGCTATCGTACATCAAAAAACCAACAAATAAAATCGGTAAAAATCGAAAACGCGAGCACTATCTTTGACTTGTGATTGAGATAGCATGTGCATTTTGGAAATTGTTTTTCGCCGAACAAAACCGAGCAGAATGATCTTTTGCATATTTAAGGGCAGCAGCTTCCGAAGGTGCAGTATCATTTGTGTTGTGATTGCCGCCACCGACAGATCGCAACGGGAGGTTCCAGTTACCAGGATAAAAGTGAAACAAAGGATATACACCATGAATAAAGGTATTTGGAAAAATAAATCGATCCATTAAATGAAAAGTCGCGAGTGTTAGGATCGTTAGATTTATCTGGAGAATTGATTTGCAGATTGCCGTTGAAGTTTTTGAAAGGTCGAAACCCTAAGTTATCTAAAATGGAGCTTCTTTTATGAAACAAGTCAATCATATTTATATTTTGGATAATATTATAAATTATTAAAATATTGAATATTATAAATTATTAAAATAATCGTAATATTACGAATCCTTTCAGCTAGCGCTATCCTGTCGCTGCTGTTCGTGGCCAGCGCCTTGGGCGGCGTGATCGAGGACTTCGAGTACCTGTCGGTGGACGCGATGTGCGAGCTGTTGCCGCAGGACACGAGCTTCCTGCGACCGAATACCTGCGACAACTGGGTGCGCTGTGCCACCAACTACAGTGCCCTGGAGCAGGGCGGCTGTGCGTCAGGACTGTACTACAACAAGGAGCTGGGTCGCTGCATCCTGGCCTCCAGTGCCGTGTGTCCCTATGCGGGTCTGGCCATCGAGAAGCCCAAGAATCTGTGCGCCAACGAGACGGAGGGCGCCTTCATCGTGGATCCCAGCAGCAGCAATTGCCGCGGCTACATCCTGTGCAAGGCCAACAAACAGATCCAGGCCAACTGCCCCAACGAGCTGGTCTTCCAGCCGACCTCGCGTTCCTGTGTGTACGAGACCCAGTACAAGTGCCCCGCCAGCCAGACCAAGAAGTCATCGCCGGCCTGCCGATCGCTGGCCAATAACACCCGTCTGGCCGATCCCGTCCACTGCGATCAGTACTACGAGTGCGTCAGCGAGGTCCTTCACAGTCGCTCCTGCCCAGTGCAAACGGCCTACGATGCCGATCTCGGCTACTGCGTGGATGTTAGCGAGGTGACGTGCTATGATACGGCTGCCCTGCCGGAACCCGAGAACACCTTCTGCCTGGACAATGCCACCGGATCCGCTCGTGTGGGCTACTTTGCCGACGATCTGTCCTGCTCCCACTACTATATCTGCGGCAATCCCGTCGCCGGCAAACACGACACGGAGCCCAAGCACCTGAGTTGCCCCCTGGGCCAGTACTTTGACTTCGAGAAGCTGTCGTGCAGGGATAGGTTGAATGTGCGCTGCCAACTGGACAGGTGTGTGGGCACCAACATGACCTACGTAAATGTGGCCGGCGATTGCCAGAGCTACGGACGCTGCTCCGGCGGAGCGACCGTCAGTTTGGGCCACTGCCCCACGGGCTACTACTTCGACGAACGCAACCAGGGATGCACCCAAACCAATTACCACTACATCGCCTGCTCCGTTTAGGAACGCCGCAATGGCACTTCAAATATCACTCAAAATTTAAAGCCCTAATAAATCGATCCAATTTAAGGTGGAGGTCAAATGCATTGTACGAAAGCAATTACTATACTTTTGGCGGGAAAATTCTACTTTTAATTACTATTACCTTTAAAAATGTTCTTATTTTCAAAGTAAAATTCAGGGATTATGGATACCTATTGTTTTTTCATAAAAGTTTCTAATAAATATTTTTAAACAACAAAATACATTATTTTTTTTGAGCCTCTCATATGAAATTGTTTAATCTTTTTAAACCCCTTTCTATTTGTATAAATGATAAGTTTTATTCCAATTTATCATAAAAAAGTTTAATCCATTCTTTATAATTTCAATTTTAAAAAAAACTACAGTTTTTTCTCGAAACTTAGAAATACGGGAGCGGAAATGTTCATTAGGGAAACGAAGACGGGGGCGATAAAACTCTTGGCAACCCTTTTGCTATCAGAAAACGGCGACACACAACGATTCTTTTTTGGCAATCTGTTTTTCGTGACAGTTGGAGTGCCCGAAAAGTTATCAGTTTTAATTAAAAGAGTACCCCGGTTCAGGGTTCGGAGAATTCCGAACCGATTCCTGATAGGCCGATAACAAATTTGCTACTCGCCAATGCCGCCAGTCGTTATTTGTTATTTCCGTGTTTGCCTTGAAGCGAGCAAGAAGTATCCAAAAGCCAAGGGAGTTTTACTACTGCTACTAATTGAATTAATAAATAACACATCTGGACTGGAGTGGCAAATGTCATATAATAGAATTTTACAAAACATTAAACTAGTCCACACTGCGTATGAGTGATTTTCATGGATGTTCAATTTAGAGCTCAAAATATTTACCTTTTATTTTAAATTTTTTATGATCATATGTTATATATAATTTAATATTATAACAATTCACTTGATTACTGCATGGCCAAATTATCATGTTTAACATTAGAGATTGTCTTCTAAGTAGCTGTACTTCAAATTTGCAAATTTGAATGATTGATGAATGAAGTGGTTGATTGAAGTGGTTAAAGTACTCTAATTTTCCGTCTGATAAGTTTGTATTTTTCCATTCAACTTCTTTATTGCTGCTGTTATCCGATACACAGCTACTAAAATCAAGATATTGGCTGATATCACTTTTCGAACACATGAATGGGTTGGTTCTATGGGCTACTTCCTCAGTTCTTTCCCGATTGCCACCAAATTACGAAGTGGGGTTTTTGGGCATGACATCACGGTTTGCTTCGATTGCCAATCGTTTCGAGGAAATATTAAGCGAAGAGGTGATCTGGTAACTTAATCGTTATTGCGCCTGATAATAGCACCCGATGTACTTATATTTATTGTAGCGGTAACAAAAAACAAAGAGTCTAATTAAAACTGATTGCGTACGTCGCTCACGAGACCAACATTTTTTGTGGTAGTGCCATTCATCACCCGACGTTTTCTGGCAGTCGGGATAAGATATAGCCCATGTGGTTCACAGATGAGTCAGAGCTACCGTTTAATCGTAGGTTTAACTGTTATATATAAGTATATCCCAAAGCTGTTCATTTAACATTTTTTTAGTTATATATGAAGACATGAAATTTATGGCGCAAAAGTATGTTAAAATTTCACAATCTCATCGATTTAAATAATTTAAACAAAGAAGTGATCTATTTACTTTATGGCTGAGAAGAAAAGCAACATGATAAAAAAACGTAGTACATTAAAATATTTCATATTTAATTTTAACATTATTCGCTTTAATAATAAATGTGAAATTTTACAATTATAGTACATTTTAAAATATTAAACTTTCAATTTAATATGCGTTTTGCTTAATAAAGTAAAATATTTGATTGATTGATTCAAATATTTGCAAATTAAATAATGCAATTAAATATGTTTTATATTAAATATTACGATTTTTTATTTAATCTAAATATTTAATAGGACTCCTTGAATTCAATATTCAGCTATTTATTTTTACTATGCCATTTTGTGTATCAACTTTGTTCACGAGATGGTGGTGGTGGTGCCATCATCCACAGCCGTCAGCTGCTCCACTTAGGAGCCGGTGGTTCCGTCGGACATTTGGCAGGCGGCATAGGATATAACCTGGGTGGTGCAGCGCTGGGTCACCTCGTCGAAGTACTCATCCTGCGGGCAGGTTCCCTGGCCAATGACGAGGCCATCCTGGCAGATCGAGTAGCCGTGGCATCCGTCATTCGATTCGTTGGCCAGCTGAATGGTGGTGTTGCCCAGTCCCACGCATCGGTCGTAGGAGCATTTCACCTTGGAGCGCGGCACACAGGCTCCGCCGTCGGTGGCCAGGAAGAACCTTCCATCGGAACACTCGCCATGCTCCAGGGCGAACTCTCCGCCATCCAATTCCTTGCAGTAGTAGTAGCCATTGCAGGTGCGATTGTCCGAGATGAAGCCTCCCGTTTCGGGACACACTCCCTTTTCGGTGATATTCGGCGCAATGACGTTATCACACTCCACATCCTGCGGATAATCGCACTGCGCAGTGGAGGCCTTGAAGTAGAAGGTTCCGGGACAGGTGCCGTTTATCACCTGGCCATCCCAGCACATCTGATAGCCATTGCAGTTGTCCGTGTCCTTGACGAAGACGCCATCGGGCAGGATGTTGCAATAGCTATCGGGATCCATCTTATTCGAGCAGGGAAAATCCCTGATGCAATCCTGGGTCCCCGGATTGAAGTTCATGCCCGTGTTGCAGACCCCATGGGTTCCCTTGCCATTGCTGCAGTAGTAATACCCATTGCAGGAGTACGGATCCGCTGCAAATCCGGTGGGCAGGGCGGCGCAGGGATCACTGGACAAGCACTTTACGCTGGCGGAACTCAGGCACTTCTGGCTCTCGCGGTCGTAGAAGAGACCAGTGCCACAGGTTCCAGCCACCGGACTCCCATCGACGCACTGAATCCACGCGTTGCAGGCCCGCGGATCGTTCATCTTGGTTCCATTGACCACCAGGTCGCATATAAGTGTTGCATTAAAGGTTAAGGTCCCAGATATCAGGGGCACCGTGGCCAGTCCAAGAAACAGGATGAAACTCCTATCTGTTTGGGAAAGATGGGTCATTAATTATATTGATTAATTAAAAATTCTTTTATTAGGTATTATTTATAACAAACTAAATTTAATTGTACTTTATTGTTAACAAAATTTTATTGGAATTTTCAGTGGACCTCAATATATGAATGTTTTGTTAAGATCATTTCTTTTCGTCATGATAGAACATTTCTTTTAGAAAATACCAGCATTTCTCGATAGATCCCAGATAAATCCAATAGAAACTCACACATCATGCCTTTTTTCGTCGAAAAAGAAATAGCCCTTAACAGCAAACGGCGTAAAGAACGTCTAACTGGGAGCCTCCAAACATTGGCATTAAATACATGACCAAAGACAATGCTTACCTCAACTTGTTTTGGGGCATTCCGAAAGGTCTATAAATTTGGAGCATTTAGTTAGTGGCAGACCTGTCGTCAGTAGCTAAAATGGACGCATGGCGTATTCATATTTCAGTTTTATCAGGTTCGCTTAATTCCGAATTTGACAAGTGATAAATTTGACCATTGCCGATTCGCAGTTCGATTAAAGTCCCATTCGTTTTTGTTTGCTATTGTTATTGCTCATATGCATAGGGTTTTCTCAATGAAAATTCATAGTTTTTTATATTTATTACCCTTTTGTTTATTACCAAAAACCGCAAACCGAAAACCAAAAAAAATCTATTTTAAAATCATTTTTATCTGCTGTGCCTGAATTGATACATACGACATTATGATATTATTAGACCACGATGACCAATTTCTGTTGAAATATTGCAGATTAGGCAGCTGTCAAGTGGCTTAGATTACCACTTTTAATTATAATTTAATAGGTTACCTGGTATTTGGTCCGTTCTAGAACTTATTCACCTAATAAATTTAATGGTATAAAGTTCTTCTTATTGTTGTGACTTTAGTTGAACTTTAACCATTAAGGCCCGTTTTGCAGTTCCAATAATATCAAAAAATGCTGGGAATCGTCATTTATAGGAAATAAATTTATGACTAATTAGTCATACTTGTTAGAATGCTTGGAAGCAAAACACCGAACCATAAAGTATGTGGGTTAGTGTCATAAAACAGGTAGGTAATTAATCGCTAATTTAGATTACTGTAATCTAATTTCGTTTAATAGCTGATTTTTCCAAATCGAATCCATAGAATACCATTTAAGAATACATCATTAAATTTAGAGAATCATGTGGTACGGAAAAATTTCATTGGCTAAAAATTATCTAATCGAATTTCGCACTTTGGTAAGACAATTAAAAGATGTGATAATAGTTGACAATTTGGAAAACGATTCCGAGAACTTGGTGGTTTACAGGCGATTTTTTATGGCCAATTTATAGATTGCCTTGTTAGGACAAATAATGTATCGCTATCTTTTTTGGATTTTTATTAGAAGCAGAACACAAAAATATTTTAATTTTCGCAAAACCCTTTTCCTAGTATTATTACCTTAAGAATAATCTACCAAACAAATTAAAAACAAATATAATCATTATATTTTGATTTGCCCGAATTCTGGGGAAGCTCTTATCCGCTACTTTGTTGACTTGTCAAAAAGGGCCATCGATCATGCAAAAATAGAGTTGGCTTCACTGCTTGCCAATGGCGATGTATCACAAAAGTCGATTCCCTGGCTTGACGGCTCGTCGATCAATTGGGACAGCCAAGCGGATCGAAGATAAACCGAGGGGCCGGGACTCCAAATAAAAACCCAGGCAGGCCATCCAACCAGAAACAGTATACCAATTGAAGCCACTAAAGAAAATGGGTGGGTTTTTGAGTTCTATCAGTTTAAAGGATTAAATTAAAATATATTTTATTTATTGACCATTTCCCAGGTGGACACAAAGGATCTACTATCGCTGCCCTGGCGCTGCTCGTCGCCTGTGCCGCTCCAGCAACAGCCGACGTGAACGTGACCGCCTTGTGCCTGCTGGTCAGCAATGGCAACTATGTGGCCAGCCAGTCCGACTGCTCCACGTACTACCAGTGCCAGGGATCCACGTTTACGACCATGTCCTGTCCCACCGGCTACTACTTCGACAAGAATGCCCAGCAGTGCACGGGCAGTGTGCCGAGCACCTGCACCAGCAGCACGAGTCCTTGTCTCGGCAAGGCGGTGGGCACCTTTGCCGCCTCCAGTACGTCCTGCGGTGGCTACTACTATTGCGGTGCCTCCGGCGCTCAGAGTGGCAGCTGTCCTGCCGGCGAGAACTTCAATCCCACCACCCAGGCCTGTGTGTACAAGAACAATTATCCCTGCACCGATTCCACCTCCTCCGACAGTCTGTCCACCCCCTCGGTGGCCCTGAACCTGTGCAATCTGGTCAAGGACAATCTCTACTTTGGCAGCCCCTCGAACTGCAGTGGCTGGAACTTCTGCCAGGACAACATCCTGCACTCGGGATCCTGCGGAGCGGGTCTGGTGTTCAATGTGCAGGCCAGCAACTGCGGCTACAGGATGACCTCCTCCTGCTCCCAGGTCACCAATGATCCCTCGCTGACCGGAGTGGCCAACAATCCCACAACTTGCACCACCGCGGGTTCGATGATTGCGGCCACCGCGTGCAATCAGTACTACATGTGCTCGGCCAGCCTGAATTACCAGCTGATGACCTGCCCCTCGGGATTCTTCTACGATACCATCTCGAAGGCCTGCGTGACCAGGATGAGTGCCAGGAACAACTGCGACAGGTGTGTGGGCACCACCGCCAGCTTCGTGAATGCCTACTCGGCCACCAACTGCTCCGATTACCTGTACTGCGTGAATGGCGTCCAGAAGGCCGTGGAGAGCTGCCCCGTCAACTACTATTTCAACGAGAACACCGGATCCTGTACTAACGGGGTGGAGCCCCAGTTCCTGTGCTGCAATCCCACGGGAAGCACCGGCCTTACCACCACAACCACTACCGCCACCACAACCACCACCACCACCGCTGCTCCAGCTGCTGATACTGGCTCGAAAACCGATACTTCAGCCGATTCCTCAGCTGGTACTTCATCAGATACTACCAAAACTGATACTTCCTCTGGAACTTCCGACACAGCAGCCACAAAGTAATCCATAAAGCTCTTCTGCACCTAAAACAATTATATATTTAATCCAGCAAACAATAAAATAAATTACTTCAAGTGTATTTCATCATTAATATTCAATCCAGTGTACTCCGTATCATCCTTTGTACACAAGATAGGTAAAATAAAAAACCCATTCCCACCCTTAAATAAGAAAGAACTTAGAAAATTTCATTTTCAGATTGTCAATTGTTTTAGAATTTCCTTACAAATTACTCATACGAAGCGTACGCCTCTTAGAATTTCTTCCGTTTTTAATCTTGTCAACTGTTATTTCAGTAGAAATCAAAAGAACAAATGGTTGCCAAACATTATTTAGTTGATATCTTTGCAAACAATATTACTTATAAGTAATAGTCCATACAAATTCAGACAATAATAGTATTTTCTTTCAAATAAGTTTGTATTGGCAGCATTATACAATCATCACCCTTTTAGGTAGGCAACACATTTTGTACAAAAGCTTTAAACAGCGGAAATATATTGTCTCCAGATTGCTTTCCTGTATCATTTTAAGCAGAGTTAAAAAGCTAATAAAATAATATATAGTCTAAATAAATTTAAATGGGATCAATGGCTTTTATCTACGTAGGTAATTTAAAATTACTACGCGTTTTATAAAAACGCTTTTTTATTAATTGCTAGGACCACTTTCTTATCATAATTTTAAGGTAAAGATATAAAACAAATTAGTTGTGTAAAGCTTTCTTTTACCATAAAGACGAATGTAGTACCTGAAATCAGTACTTTCCAATTCTCACGATGAAAGGCATAACCAAAATACCTCCAATGCTTACACTTCCTGATAAGTAAAAACAAACATATTGGAAAATTCCAATCAATATAACGGATATCCCAAAAGAGTATAAACACAATTTAATAGAGCCCATTTGGCATGGTAATAAAGTCGAAAGTAAACACTATGCGAACTACAGGTCTTTTCATTGCCGAAAAAGTTTACTGGCTGGAAACAACGTCATCCAAAAGAGATAAGGAGTCCATAGAACTTTGAGTTAAATGGTCTATAACATAAAATAAAAGTTATAAAATAAAATAAAGTTTATTTTTATTGGAACTAATAAAAATGTTGTTTTTATATTTCTGCTCATTATCACAAAAGTTTTAGTAACATTAAAAATATTTAATTTGAAAAGGCCCCTTTTTTAATTACATTACTCCAGTAGATTATCCAATTAGATTATCTTACAACACTTGGCTTAAGTACATGATGTGTTAGTTCTCAAGGCAGCCTTACACCACTGATAAAGGTAAAGATGTGGCGTCAATCGTTTCTTTTTTTAATTATTAAGTTGCGGAACAGATAGAATACAGAATGATAGCGGCTAACTTGCGGTTACCACAACTTAACTTTAATTAAAGCTGGTAAAATAACAACCAGACAAGATGTTCGCCGCGTATCTGGTGGAATAAATAAAAAATTGAACCATGTTCCGCTGTCTATAATTCCTGAGAATAGCTGGGCTTATCTACAGTCAATTTACGATCTAGATGGCCAAGTTCGAGGCGAATACCTATAAAAACCAGGCGGTGGGAAAACTCCAACATCAGTCTTCCGACTACCTTTCATTGGCCAATACAAGTGGTTTTTAATTCCCGAGAGACCCAAGAGTATTACGAACTAACGATGACAGGCAAGTGTGGTGTAGCACCAGTGGATAACCGCGAGGATTTTTGGTTAATTCCGGACTTGTGACTTGTGACTTGCAGGAAAATTTCTACTGGCGACGACGATCCTGTGCCTGATGGGCGGCAGCGCCCTGGGCGATGCGATCCTGGAGGGCACCTACAACGTGACCGCCTTCTGCACGGCCTGCAAGACCGGCATTCAGCTGGGCAGCATCGAGTCCTGCCAGAAGTACTATGTCTGCCAGTCGACCGGACCTGTTGTCGCCGAATGCCAGTCGGGCTACTCCTACGACTACAAGAAGAGCACCTGCCTGCCCTCCAGCCAGGTGAACTGCTACTACGGTGTGGATAATCCTTGTGCCGGAAAGAATGGAACCTGGGTGCCAAATACCGGCGTGTGCGGTGGCTACTACTATTGCGAATTGGGCGTTTCGAAGGCCGGATCTTGCAGTAAGAACCAAGTGTTCAACTCCGTAACCGCAGAATGCGAATGGGGATCCTGCGCCACCACCCAAACCACCGAAGGTGCAGTTCTCAATTCGCTCTGCGAAGTGGTGCCCCCCAATCAGTACTTTGGCGATACCAACGACTGTGCCACCTGGAACTACTGCGTGTCCAATAGCACTGGCGTTTATGCATTCAGTGGAAAGTGCGCATCAACCACAACAAAGCAGAATGTGAGTAAACCCTTTTTATACCGGTCAAATAGCTTACAGCACCACGTAAAATTCGTAATCCTTTTTTCCATTCCTACAACCATTAATTTAAAATATTAATTTGCCTATGCTTTATGTTTTAATTTTTAAAACATCATTTAAAGCAATTATTTTTTTTAAACAAGTGGTGGCTCCAGTTCTTTGAAATTGTTTTATTTTTAAAGGAAACTAACATCTTTTTAACCGTGTGAATTTTTGTCGGAAATTAAAATTTATATTGTCATTAATTCTTAATAGTAATATCGTTAGCTTGATTGACCTGTATTTTGTATCTTTTATTTATTTATTTTTATTTTATTTTTCGCTTGACCCGTGGATTGTATTAAATTTGTCTAACTTTCTATCTTTTATTTATTTAATTGATTTATTTTTATTATTTTATTTTTCGCTTTAAAATTACATTTGCTACTTTTATCCTGCACTTAATAATGTTTACATTTCTTTTTCCTAGGCCTTTAACGTTAAAACAGGATCCTGTGATTACACCTCGGATAGTATCTGCAGCCGTGTGACCGACATTCCCCTGAGCAGTGCCGCAGTTTCCTGCCCCAAGGACGGCGTCAAGGAGGGATCGGCCACCGTTTGTGGCACCTATAATGTGTGCACCAACGGCAAGTGGGTTGCCACAAACTGCCCCACTGGATACTACTTCGACACCCTCACGTCGAACTGTGTCGTGCGCCAATCGGCCACGCCCACTGCTGGCTGCAACCGTTGCCAGGGCGCCAGCACCAAATTCGTGAACGCCGTCAATTCGGAGAACTGCTCGACGTACTACTACTGCAACGCGCAGGGCCAGGCCACCCTGAACACCTGCCCCACCGCGTACTTCTTCAACGAGAAGCTCGGCGCCTGCAAGCCCGAGGACGATCTGGCCGCTTATGTGCCGAGCAACGGAGCCTGCTACGGATCCAAGGCCTCTTCGACCACTGAGGACGGTACTGAAGCCGAGACCACGGCGGATCCCTCCGGCAAAATGTTCGACTTGGAGGAATAGGCCCAGTCAAACGGTCAGGAACTATTGGAAGGCAACTCGCCGGAACAGGACAATCTGCAAACACGATCCAATGTATTTACCACTTAGTATTCAGCTCATATAAGAGGCAATAAACCTATGTTCGCAAGCAAATTTTTGTATTCTGCTCTATGGGATTAAATATCCTCTTCTTTAGACCTTTTTAAAACAATTTCAGCTATCAAAACCAAAAAAATACCAGAGATATTGAGACATCAATCTTAATAACAGACAAAAAGTATTTTCAGAACTTTATTTCAAAGTTACAAAAAATATTTTAATTTTTTCTTATACTTTGATTTTTGTAAAACTTTTAGATATTTTTAATTATTTTCTGGAAAAAATAAGAAATACATTATGGATAAATTTAGATGATCAAGATCTGTCTGATGCTTATTTTTAGATGTGAGCATATCAATCATTTCTTTTAGAATGTTATCTAAAAACGCGAACATTGCGATCTCGCCGAGACCGCAGCGCAAAATGCAAACACAAGTTTTCGATTAGCTTTTACAATAGCCACACCCATTTTAGCGACCTTATAAAAGGGTCGGTCATGAAACGGCCGAAACACTAAAACAGTTACTCTGAAGCCGCAAAGAACCATCATCGGAAGTTAAGGAAATCAATAACAGCAATGCCATGCTCTTGGGCATCTTTCCTGGCACTGGGCATCTGCATCCAGTTGGGAGCAGGTCACTCCGTGGACAGGAGTTGGGAATTGCCCAAGCCTCGTGTAACCTTGGGTGACCTCAGCCATGTGAGTATAATTAAATTTCCGGGTTGTTTATAGCACATATACATTTTAAACTTTAAAATATTGTTATGTTTGTTGTTTATTTGAAGTTTTATAAATATCATAATTTCAATAGCTTAGAAAACTTTAGGTAACTTCTTAAAATAAAGCTGTATTTTATTTTTCCTAACACTTCTAATAGGTAACTTTTATAATTCCTTTTTTCAGATCTGCCTGGGTCGCCAGGAAGGCGATTTGGTGCCCCATCCGCTGGACTGCAATGGATACTTTTCCTGCTCGCGCATTCCCAGGCTCCTCTATTGCGAGCAGGGCCTCTATTTCGATGGAAATCGTGGGATCTGCGATCTGCCAGAGAATACCAACTGTCGGCAGAGCGATTTGTCAGTACCGCCTGTAGAATCGCAAGGCAGCCCAGTGGATAACTCCGAGCTCAATTGGTGGCCTCACAAACCGAAGCCTGTTTTTGTGGCTGTCGATGTGTCCAGTGGTCAGCCAGTCAATCCCATGGAGAAGTACGATCCGGAGAATATCGAGTGCCGACACTATGGTGCCTACTTCCTGCCGCATCCCAGAAATTGTGGATTGTACTTCATCTGCGCCTACGGCCATCTGCACCGACATCAGTGTGGGCGTGGCACCTCCTGGAATTTCGAGATGTCCGAGTGTCAGTTGAGCGATCAGGCCGTTTGCTACGGGGAGTCCAGGGTTTCAGAACCCGAGTCCCATACGAATGTAGAAGTGTTTGGGGAAAGCACCACACCGAGCAGTGAAGCGCCAATAACCGTTTGCTATATAGTCGGATCGAGTGAGTTAAGCACTTTTCAGCAATTCCTCACGGATCCCGAGACCACCGAGTTGGTACAGGTGACATCATCTTCTCCACCTACTCCACCCTCTCCACCTTCACCACCTCGAACTGAAGTCACCGCCTTGACTTGTCCATCCACCAAGCAGAGCTATATGTCCCATCCGGAGGATTGCAGCAAGTACTATATCTGCATCAGTGGAATGCCCGTGCTCACATCCTGTCCCAAAGGCCTCTTTTGGGACCAGAAGTCCGGCTACTGTGAGATGGAAAAGAATGTCAAGTGTTTCCAGAAGTGATTAATAAACACGGTCTAGATCGGTCGATGGTGTTTTATTATGGAATACTTCACAAAGTTTCGAATCTTTATTAATTTAATGAGAAGAGTGTTATAATTTTTTGCTAAGAACCTCTATTTTGGATTCACAAGGTTTTTAAAAATAGTTACTTCGTTATTTACAATGAAGTATTTCTTATAAAACTGTCGCCATCGTTAGTCTTTGCCAGAAAACTGCTCTTCTTTGGGAAGTTTCGGGACTCTCCTTCTCTATTTTATCAGTTTTCCAGGGATAATTCTTAACACCGCTCACAATACGTTCCCAAAATGTTAGTGTACTTGGCTCGGGTGATTTGGCATCTTGAGAATTTTCATCAGCTGGATTGCTCGCAAAACAGCACACCAGCAGAAGGAAAAATGTCAAAAAGAGTTCCAATTTAATTCCTTTAGATGCTTGCATTTTGATACACTGGTGATCTCTAACTGATCTTGTTTGAAGTTTTCCTCTCGTCGCATGACGAAATTCCGAATCTTATCAATAGAAAATATTTAAGCACGTTCGCAAATTGCTTTACAACAGATAATGGATAAGATATCAAACGACATAAGACAAGCGACCAAGTTTTTGCAGCCTAAAAGAGAGCTCTAAGATCATTGAATAAAAAAGCTTATTTCACGTAAAATAAATGTAAATTAACACTAGAGATAAAGGTAATATTATCAATTTTAGAACTTTACTTCAGGAAATTGTAATTGAATTGTACAATTGAATTTCTGAAATTTGACACGCAATCTGCTAAGGCAGATTAATGATCAATTTATTAAAATTAATTTATGCTCTATATTTAAATAAAAAGTTTATTTTAAACAAGAAAGGAAGCTAGCTTCGGCCAGCCGAAGCTTATATACCCTTGCAGATCATTCCTATTAATTAACAAATCGCAAAAATGTTCAATTTTCTAATATTTCTCATTAATTTTCCGATCGTTCCTATGGCAGCTATATGATATAGTCGTCCGATTTTGATTAAATTAAAATTGAAATTCGGAAATATTTAAAAAGAGTCATATCCTAGAGTAGAAGACAATACAATAAAAACCAAAGAAGCTAGAATTTATTTCCTATTACTTTTCCATTAATTTTCCGATCATTCCTATGGCAGCTATATGATATAGTCGTCCGATTTTGATTAAATTAAAATTGAAATTCGGAAATATTTAAAAAGAGTCATATCCTAGAGTAGAAGATAATACAATAAAACCCAAAGAAGCTAGAATTTATTTCCTATTTCTTTTCCATTAATTTTCCGATCGTTCCTATGGCAGCTATATGATATAGTAGTCCGATTTTTTAAATTATTAATTCGAAATTCAGAAATATTTAAAAAATAACATCCCCAAAAGTAGAAGGTAATATTTCAAAAAATACCGAAGCTAGAATTTTTTAATGTTTTTTTTTTCCGATTGTTCCTATGGGAGCTATAAGATATAGTTGTCCGATCCGGTCGGCTCCGACATATATACTACCTGCAATAGAAAGAAGACTTTTGGGAAAGTTTCATCCCGATAGCTCAAAAACTGAGAGACTAGTTTGCGTAGAAACAGACAGACGGACAGACGGACAGACGGACAGACGGACAGACGGACAGATGGACAGACGGACAGACGGACAGACGGACATGGCTAGATCGACTCGTCTAGTGATGCTGATCAAGAATATATATACTTTATGGGGTCGGAAACGCCTCCTTCACTGCGTTGCAAACTTCTGACTGAAATCATAATACCCTCTGCAAGGGTATAAAAATCGTTATAGTAATGGAAGCCTTAGTAGCTCTACATATTCTGTAAGTGTTTCCCCCTTTTGGCCAGCTGTTTTTAAAAAATTCTTTTTATTAATTTAATAAATATTGTCAAAAATTAATCGAACGTTCGAGTAATATTTAGCATAAGGTAGGTCAAGGCAAAGAGACTGTCGTTTATCTTTCCGGGCTGAACTTTATATAAAAATTCATAAATGATGTCATTCAATCGGCATACGAACTTTGAAAGATTGTCCCTGATCTCGTCGCACATTGATCCGTTCATTCATAAATTATCCAAAAAGCATGTTGGCCCTCTTGATTATGTTGCGAATATGTGTGTGCCTAAACGATGTGCTCGTCTAATTTAAATTTAAATTTAACTTCTAAGGCGGTCGGGCTCAATTAGGGCTGGTTCTCTGCTCACAGCTAATCGTCGTGCTGTCCAGTAATTAATTCAGCCGTCTCCGTTGGCCAAACTCGTTGGTCAAACGTGGAGTCGCGTGACTCATTATATCTCGCAAAATGGCAAACCGAAAAAATCGTTTTGGGGTTGTCGGCAAAGTAAATACATACTTTGTACATGTATCACAAGGAAAGTTGTATATCAACAAATAAAAATAGGTATATCTTTGTATTCCACTTAATTTTACATTTCTAAAACAAACAAGCGCTCTTTTCCGATAACTTGTGCTAATTAACTGAATGGATAAGATCATTGCCCTTTTTGTCGGTTAAGAAATTATTATTAAATTAAATGTATGTACATAACAGCAAACAATCACTGATTAATGGGTTTATAATATAAATGTTTATTAATAACAAGGTCTCAGTTTGCATTAAAATAACCTTAAACTTTGTTTGAATTCAAGATATGTGGGTATAAACCAAATTCTCTTCAAGCCGGAAGATTGCGATTCTGATTATTGAAATGCAAAAAAAATAAAACTATATTATTGATCTCTGTAATTTCTTTTGGCACTTTATACTGCAAATTAAATGTGTCACAACAAAGTTAATTTTTTGCTTCCAAGCTAACGGCGCAAATTCAAATTGAAATTCAAGTTCACATACGCTTCTGTTTTTTTGTCACACCCTTCCTGCTGTTAATCCAGCACAGTCGCGGTCAACAAATAAGTTTTGAAATAATTTATTTTTCAAATATTGTATTGTAAGAATTATACAAGTTTAAAACTAAATTGAAATTTCTAAAAAAAAAAAAATATGTAAATATTAAAACTCTTTATTTGTTATAAAATACTCCATGTTTTTTAAACATACAAATTTTATACATTTTACATTAATATGAAACATTGTACAGGATTTTTCAACCCATAATTCCGTAAAAAGTGCTTATTAAAATAATTCGATGAGTCGAGTGATACCCTGCAGTCAACAGCTGATGGTGCGCCGCCGCATTCAGGCAAACACTCACACACACACGCCGAAGAGAGCGCGAGATAGGTTTATTTTGTACTCCCTCTCGCACGGCGCGTTGGGCTCTCGCTTTTGTCGCTCGGCGATCATTCCAAAGCTAGTCACCCGCGCGCGGAGTTCTTTTTGCCGCGTCGTTCCGCAAATAGTTTTATTTTGTTTTTACTTAACTTAATTTCGTTCCATTTGACTTTTCGCGAGTGACGTCGCCGTTTTTATGGGAAAGTGCGCACATATGGAAATCGTAAGGAAATAGTTGTTGTTTAAGCAAAGACACGCGTCGCCTTTCCGCGTGTCTCTTATTTTTGTGGATCACCCGAAAGGCGCCATTTGAAAAGGCAACAGCTGTGCGGCAAAAATACATAAAACGTATATGATCAAGTGCAAAAAGCTGGCGTTGTTTAATAGAATTTAAATTAAAAGAAAAATTAAACCGAGGAAACGTGCAAAAAGCTGAGAGAGCGGTGCGTGTGTGTGTTTGTGAGCGGCGCTCTCTTCTTATTTATTGCGCAAGCAAAAGAGAGCGTTTTATATATATTCCTTAAATATTTATATGCATGTGTCTGTGCGTACCTGAAAATATACATATATATATATTTTATTTGATTATTTTCATTTGTATTAGAAGCAACAACAAAGCCGTTTGCTGAATAAGTAGAATTTGAAGTGCACTTTCTTTGTGACCAAAAGATCGCTCCAAACTTCAAAAAGCGAGCAAGGCTATATAGTTTTGTATGTCTGTGGATTCAGAGCGCAAGCGTCGCGTCGCCATGCGAATGTTAATGAAAAACACAAACCCCTAAAAATCGACGGCAGCTAACAAAAAAACAAAACACAAAAACATCACAATCACAACATTATCACACAAAATATAACAATACTAAAACCAACAAGTCAGCAAACGGAAACTAAAGCAGCAGGCAAGTTCATCAAAAATATTGACTACATAATACAGTACATTCGCTCACCAAACTGATAAGGCCGAAGGTAAAAAGTACTCGATTTGCCAACTCTTTGCGATCTGCCCTCTCGCTCTGGCCCAGTATCAGCTGCACTCTGTGGGAGTGATTGGGAATATCCGATAGTGCATACCCTGCAGTCAATTAGAACCGTTTCTATAGCAACATTATTATGTATATTTTTTTTGCTTTAAGAAATGAGTCAGTATAACTATTTTTTAAAAATTGTCGGTTTCGATTAATCTTAAAGAAATTGTTCATAACTTAAAAATAAAAAGATGGTAATGAATCTGGTTTGCGAGCTTCAATGATTAATTTTTGGGTATTTTTGTAAACATTATCAGACTTTATATGAAAACCGGAAAAGGAATACGACTGCATATAATAACAAAATTCCATTTTGTAAATTTGTTGTCTTAGTTTTAATTTTATTTAATTCATAATATACATATGGCACTCCTGTTTTATTTACATTTGCCTAAAAAAAGGTGCGAATTAGAGCTTAGGTGTTCCCATTCTTTTATGTTATCGACGTAGAACACTCCTTTGATTCTACATAAATCGCAAAAACGATGAATTTGAGGCATGGCCAACAAATAATTATTTTAAACGAGCTTCGGGGCTTCATTGAAGTGCTAGGAATTGTAAAAAAATTTTAACGGTCAAGAATTTTAAATAAATTTAAAAAAGCAAAATTACAAATGTGTTACATATTTCGAGAAACTTGGAAGTTCTTATGTATTATGGCCGAATATCTGCGTGTAATCTTTGAGTGAGACCACAATTTCTTTATTGCAATTAGGTCCAATTGAAATTCTATATTCCGAATTTTGTTTAATTATGTTCGTTCGTCGTCTTTCCGTTCTCTCTTTATTTTATGTATCTTAACAAATATAAATTCAATTCTTACTTTTTGAGCTGTGCCATATTCGTGAAATGAGCTTGCTTATTTATCTGTACAGTTGTGTTGAGATACAAATTGAACTAACCTAGTACACCTAATACTCACTCTAGAGGTCTGGCAGATAAATATGTATACACGTGCTGGAGATGCCATATCTCTCGTTATCATAGGCGGTTAATCTAACGAGTACGTGAGAAGGCTAACAAGCTTCGCGTGGATTTATGTAACATTCATAGCTCCAAAATGACGGTGCTGAGGCCAGTTTTCACTATCCGAAAGTCTTATCAAAAGGTGCTACATAATACACCAAGAAATACCCATTCTCATCCATTTGGCGGCGTAATTTGCTTTGGGCCCGAACAACTCAGTTCGATTCGTTTCACAACCGGTTTGGGTTCCTGCAGCTAACACTCATCTCATATTGGAAGAGGCATCGGGGGTACACCTCACAGGAACTCCGTGCACCTAGCCATCAATCAAAGTTACAGTCAATCTTCTATAACTCGAACTTCCCAGAGGCCAATAAAAGTGGCCAATCTAAGATATTGACTTCATTACTCGATTCAGACTCTAATAGTTCGAATATCTGTAAATTTAAGATAGTTAAAGATGGCACCTTACTAAAATATAGCACCAAAAATTCTTTAATAAATTCAATAATTTTTGAAACAATAAATTTCACAACATAGTAAAGTAAATTTTTTTTTATTCCTTATTTTTGAATGTTTTAAATTAGAGAAGTTCAACTGTATATTTCTCTATGAGTATGTGCACTCGGACAACAATGCGTCGTCAATGAAAGCCGCAAACTGGTTTCGGCCTAGGAAAACCAACGCAAACAGTAGTGCAAAGTTGGCCGGTGAAAACGCAGTGAGCTCGACCACCACATACCCATCCACTTCCCAGAGCATCTTAAATATCACGGTTTTAATTTCATTGTAAACAAAAAGAATCGCGCCAGAAGGGCACCCAAAATATTGTTTATAATTTTTTTTGTTTTGAGCAATATGATAACTGACATTTGTCGTTGACTATTAAATTTCGAGCAGCACAATTATAACTTAAAATAAATATAATATTACCTTGCACGTGTTGCACTGAAGTCTTTTAAGAAAAGCTTAATTTTTTGGTAGTCTTGCTAATAAAATCGTAATAATAGGATACTTTAAAAAGAAACTTTAGTACGTTCCAATGCAAAATTTAGAAATCTTCCTAAATTCCTTATCCTTTTATTAACTATTTTTAAATCTTTAACTTTTTAAACCGTTTTATTGGGTACCATCTTTCAAACTCCATCCGACTACAATCTTTCTTGACCAACTCTCTCGTTTCGCTATCATATCGATTGTTTGCAAGGTAAATTTGATCAGTCAATTGAAAAGTTAAGTACGCACTCGTAATGGAAGGGTTTTGGTCCACCCTGGCGTGAACTCTTCGAACAGAAGCAAACGGCAAGTGGTAACGTAATACCCGATCGGATTGGAGAGATAAACATAAGCGAATCAATGCGGAGTCAAGACCAAGTGAATCATAACATCAAATCTGGTTAGTGCTCCTCCACGCACAATGAAATTTGAAATCGGCAACGGAGCATAGCGAATAATCAAACGAAACCGAAATCGATATCCGTATCGAAACGCAGGGCAAGTGCAAGGGCAGAAATAATTTAAAAACATTGGCAAAGATCAGTTGACAGGACAGTGAAGACTCGTCTAAATTTAACCACAATGCTGGCGGCTAATTGAAGCTTTGGTAGGGACTCTCATTTTCATGGAAACAGACGTTTGAGGGGACTGATTGTTATTGATATTCTGATCATGGCTTCCCATGCGGTTACGATCATTGAAGTGTGCGGTTGCTTAAATCCTGCACCGAAAGAAACCTCGAGATTCTATAACTTGAAGTTTATAAAATTTGAACTATGTATTGCCAATTGGATGAGGTAAAAAATGTAAAATGTTGCATTTCAGGCATTAA